TATATATATATATATATATATATATATATATATATATATATATATATATGTCATATAAAAGTCAAGCATGCAATATTCAACATAAAGTAGCATTTTTATTCTATTTTATAAGAATAATTTCTATAGCACAACTGCCTTATTTAGAAAAAGCTTATCTTAGCTTAGTCCCAAGAGCGACTGTCCTCTTAAATCAGCCAACGTTATAGTTACATATTATAGTATCACAAATTAAGTTATAATGCTGTCTGAGACAAGAAAAAATAAAAATAGTATACCATAACTTTTTGATATTATATTGATAGCGTGGAACTAGAAAGTAGTAAGTAAATTGTTCACTCTAGCAAGTGATGAGTTCAAAACGTTGAATAAAAAATGTATTAAAAAATATTATATTGTCAGATCAAAATTCATATAGAACTCATTTTTATTGCACCTTTGGAGATTATGATAATAAATATCATTTTTATATATTAATTAGCAAAGTTAAATCAAATGAAAAATATTTAATTTAAATATTTTTCTTGTAAAAAATAATTAATTCTATTTTACCCAAATTAAATGTATTACCTTATATAATGTTGAAAGTTATTATTTATATTTTCTGCAAACATTCATTATAAATATTTAATAAAATATTAATTATAAATAAAACTAAAAATTATTTGTAATATAATATTTATGTTGTTTATTTACAAATTAGTACACTACATACGAGATACAGTATTGATTCCCAATAAATTTAATCCTGTGTTCATGTACTCTGCAGTAATTTTACACAATAAAATTCTTCCAGTAAACACTTTGATAATTTCACCTGAAAAATTTTTTCTTTTAAATAATCAATTTGTGAAAAATTATAATTCTATTTATATCTGTGTCTATATAATTATAATGGTGAAAAATAAGGTAGTATTTAGACTACATAGTTAGGAACAGGTGCGGATATAAGGGATGTGGGTGCTACAAGGACTAAAGCCCTTCCTTAGACATTAGGTGGAACCATATCAGATGTAGGTACTTAAAATATTTAAAAAATTAGACGTAAGAAAGACTTCGTACAAATCAACATGCACAACAAATTATGACAGTAACTTACTTTACTAGTCCCCCTTTTTTAATTTCTAAATCTACACTAGGTTAGGGGTAAAATCCATTACTTTTATGATTATTCTAGTTTTTTTTCACTATTATTTTTTTAAATTATCAATAAAGGTAAAATTTTACTCTTTAATTGTTAAATAAATAAAAATTTACCAGTTTGAGATTTTTCAATACAATAACAGTTGTCATAGAATTCGTTAAATGTTGTAGCTACATCATAAAGATATTCACACAAATGATGAAGACAAAAATCTTCAGTAATTTTTGATAATACTTCAGAAAACCGTAACAATGTCTGAAATAAATAATATTTTAAATTATTTCAGTTCAGAAAAAAAAAAAAAATTTATTAATCACCTTGGCCAATTTCCATTCTTTTTCATGGTCAAGTGAAATAGGTTGATTTATGTTTTCACAATGAGTACCCAAATTATTAATAATAGACCTTATTCTGGTTAAGGCATATAGCAAGTATACAGCCGTATTGCCTCTGTCTTCCAACATTTTATCAAAAGAAAATACATATTCATGGCTTCTATTATGACACAAATCAGCATATTTAATGCAACCATAAGCAACTGCAGTTTCTGCCTGCTTCATTTCTTCTTCAGTCAATATTTTATCTCTACCTTTTTCTATTAATTTATCTCTTGCTCGTTTAATACCTGTTACAATGAATTAGTTTTATTCAATGACAAAAAAAAAAAAAAAATTAGCAAAATTATACCTTCATCTAGAAGGCCAACTAGCCTTACTGTCTCACCCGAACGGGTTTTAAATTTTTTCTTGTCTTCTCCTAACACTACACCAAAACCGATAAATTCCATACGAACTCGTGATGGATCTAAAATGTTGGCACGTATAGCACATTTTTTCAAGGTATCAAAATGTGTACTCTAAAAAAATAAATAAATTACTCCACTAAAATAACTTAATATATTGAAATAATATATACAAAAATGATTCATACTTGACCAGCATCAGTAATGTAAAGAATACAATCAGCTTTCTCCTCTTCGATTCTTTGTTTTAAAGCTGCGAAATCTGATGTATCATAAGTAAATCCACCATCTGATTTTACTATAGTTAATGGTATAGAACACTCTGGACCCCACATAATTTTACGACCCTCATCATTCTCTAGAAATCCTATAAAAATAATTATAAGAAATATTTTTGTTCAATAAAAATTATTTGAAGTTTTGCTATTTTTATTTCTATATAAAATATAGGATGAAGAAATTTGAAAAATACCTTTATCTTCTAATTCTTTAACTAAATTTTCCATTCGGCTTTGGTAAAAGGATTCTCCCCTTTCAACGATATTAATGTTTAGTCTATTATATATTTTTTGAAACTCTATAAATAATAATGTAGAAACTCATGTAAATATTTTAATTAAAATGTGTCATTAATACAACTATTACCACGTCGTGACACATCACAAATTAATTTCCAAGCTTGAACATGATCTGGTGACATGCTTTGAAGTTTTACCACACAATCATATGCACGTTTTTTGAACTCTGGATCACTATCAAATAGCACCTTAGATTGTTTATAAAACTGTTGCAAATCATTTATAGGAGGTGACTCAGTCTTGTAATTAGGGAACTTATCTTGAAGTAGTGCAATCAGCATTCCAAATTGAGTCCCCCAGTCTCCAATATGATTTAATCTCAATACATCATGTCCAATAAATTCAAATACTCGACTTAGACTATCACCAATAATTGTTGACCTAAATTTAATAATAATTATATATAAATTCATACTATTAAGAAACATATTTTACAGACCTTAAATGACCGACATGCATTTCTTTTGCAACATTAGGTGATGAAAAATCTATTACAATCTTCTGTTTATTAACAGTAGGTTTTGCTTTCAACCCATTATCCAAGATAAACTGTAAAATGTCACGTAGTTTGTTACGACCTAACCATACATTAATAAATCCTGGCCCAGAAACATCTACTTTTTCAATGATATCGCATTTTTCTAGACATTCTACAACTCTTTTTGCTACTGCATTGGGTGACACATTTTCACCTGAAATTAAAAAACCAATTATAGTATAAATAACAAAATAATAAATTTTTATCATATTATTTAAAACATTTTACAATCTATGCTATATTAAAAATAAAATTTAAAATCCTTCTACGAATAAAAGGTAATGTTAATATTTTTTCAATAATAATTTAGTTTACTTAAATAGAACCTTATAAAATACCTTTTGCTTTCAGTAGTTTACAGATTTGCATAGATGCATTACACTGGTAATCAGCAAATTTGCTACCCGCAGTAACAGCAGGTTGGCCAAAATCTTCTAAGTTTGGATAAGCAGTTTTAATTGCTTTAGAAAAATAATTGATTAATATAACATGTATATTAATCAAAGAACACTCTTGAGTATCAAAAGCATTCATTTTTGATGCATTGGCTGAAGCCTATAACAGAAAAAAGTAGTCATTTTTTTTTTTTTTTTTTTTTTTTTATGAATATAACTATGATGTAAAAATTATATTTTGTACATACAATTTATTTAAAGTGTGTTACTAATTTATTTCTTTAATTAAAATAATGTATAATTCAAATAAATTTATTACTTAAACTAAGCAGAAAACCATTTTCTTTTAAATTCAATACACATAATCTATAAATGTTTACAAAATGTATGTCCATTTAAATAGTTAATTTAAAAAAAAAATTAGTTTAGTAATACAATTTTAGTATGCGTTTATTTTAAGTTAAATAAAAAAAAACATATATTACTTATATAATAAATTTTTATCTATTATTTCATTAATTAAAAATGTACAGTAAAACCTCATTAATCTGGACTACTTGGAACTCTAGGTTGTCCGAATTAATGAAAGTCCGTATTAAACAAAATAACCGAAAATCGTAAATTATAAATTTAAAAAAAATGTATTGGATATTTTACTATACAAGTTTTAATCTAATACATATGTATGTCTAATAATAGTAAACCTAAAAAATAGTACATAATTGTATTATAATCATTACATACATATAATAGTACATATTAAGGTTCATCTTCGCTATTCACACTTGATACGCTTACTGGTTTAAAAAAAAACTGCTAATCTTTGGTTGTCTTCCTTTCACAGTGATTTCTTTACTTATTAACTCGCGAAGATGCCATAAATGCTCATAATAGACAGATATGTTTTCATTGTTGTTGTCTTCTATGTATTTAATGACAATGTTTAGATAGTTTAGATAAACTAGTATAATTTACGTATTATAAACGGCTACCCGGATTAAGCCAATTCTGGACTAATGAGGTTCTACTGTACTACATTTTTTAGGTTTGATATAAATTGCTAATAATATACTAAAATATAATACATTTTATTTTTGAACTTAAAAACTCGATATTTCCAATTAAGTATTAAAGCAATCAATAATTTATATACTATTTTGATAAAAAAAAATAATTCAATGTATTAAGAAAATAAACTACAATATATATAAAAATTTAGATTTAAAATTTTTTTTTAAGATAAACAATATAAATTCATATTTATATATGTATATACAGTGGCGTACATACGGGGAGGGTTTCCGGGTTCAAACCCCCCCAGGGCCAAAAAAAAAAAGAAAAAAAAGAAAATTGTTTTATTATTGATGACGTGTAATATATTCGTAGTTTCATTATTACGCTTTGAACTTAAAATATACAACTATACAAATATTATGATAATTAAATAATTATATTGATAGGTGTTTGAAAAGTTTTATTAACTATGCTGTTTTTATTTTCCAATAGCTATTAATTTACTGTAATGTAAAAGTAAATTGTAAATTGGTAAAATAGTTGTATAAAATAATAACTGTTTATAGCAGTTTTTATCTTATTTATCTGTACAACGAAAAAAAAAGATAATGATTATTTTTGTTAAACCCTCCCCAGAGCAAGATCGAATGTACGTCACTGTGTATATATCTCAGTATATATGAATCCTATTTAGAAAAATAAATTAGAATAAAAAATCTTAGACAAGACTTTTGTTTAAAACAAAACAAAAACTTTAAAAGTTCAAAAATAATTAAATAAAATATTTATGTAAAATAAGAAAATAATTGGTTTTCTTTCATATTTCATAGAAACTGTTAAAATAAAAAAAGTTAAGTAAGAAACAAAATTTTACGTAAATAGTAATAGTTTATCAGTTAAAATAAAAAAGTCAAATCAGAAACAACATTTTAAGGAAATAGTAACAGTTTAGTAACTGCACAAAATTAGAATACAAATTACAAATAATATAAATATTTATATATTTAAAAATATAGATGTAGATTATTTAGAAAATTAAACATAAATTAATAATAAGTATTTAATTTATTGATTTCATTTTTAACTGAAATAAATATTAAATACCTTATTAATTTTGATAGATGATAGTAATATAAATTATATACAAATATTTTAAACAGTTTGATTTTAGTATTGTACATATACATAAATACATTAATAATTGCCATAATGAATTAATTATTCAAAATTAAATTTATGATTTTGGTAAAATAAAACTAATCAAAATCAAATGTATATATTAACAAAACAAACAGTTATTTTATTTTTACATGAGAATTTAATCAAACAAGTTTAACTTTATGGCATGATTAGTAAGCATCAAAAACATCTTAAATAAGGCTAAATTTTTTTTGAAATTTGTTTTCAACACTATTTCTATTGAATCAAGATTGCGTTTATAAGATTTTAAAATATCATTGGTATAGTTATTAATTATTATATTAATAACTATATTATTAAGATTGAAAGATGAAGCGAACAATTTCAAAAGTAAAATAATAATCAATGTTCTAGAGAATTTTTATGACCACGATCTTAACCTCGGAAAATTTTAATATCAATACCAAATCATAATTCATTCCAGTAGTATTAATATATTTGAACTTAAAATTCAATATGATCATTCTATATTTATTTATTAGTCCACTAATAACAAATAATAAAAGAATAATATTTAGTGGGAAAAACAGTGTTAAATAAGGGAGCATTTGCTTATCATAAATAATTAAAGTAATAAAGATGCACCAGAAAAGTTGAAATTAATTTAATTTTTTTTAAATTATAATAATAAAGATTTTTACCTCTTTCAAAAACTTCAATCTGTATTTAAGTTTTTTATTTGTTGATTCCAACGCTAGGCGTTCATTTTCCTTTTCCGCTTTCAAGTTTTCCAGTTGTTCAATATCTTTGATTAATTGAGGAATCGTGTCGATTACCGCATCCATAATTAATGCTAATATTGGGACAAATCAAATAGAGAATAGTCAACTCACGAGCAGAGGAAATACACAACGCGTTACGCGAATATCAACGAATAAAAATGATAACACAGTGCGATGTGCATGAAAGATTGTAGCCTTATCTGTGATTATCAACTTGTTCATGTTAAGCAATCGATAAGAATGAAATGAGTAAAAATATTATTTGAAATTAGTGATGGGAAAAATCGAATGATTTCAATAACCGAGTGATTAGTAACCGAAAAAAAAAATTATCGAATAATCGAATGATTAGTAGTCGAAAACAAAATAATCTATTGATTAGTTAACGAAATCGAAATAATCGAATGATTAGTAAACGAAATCGATCTAATAATCGAATGATTCACATGATTTAACTGTTTGAACTGGTTGTATAAATAATCAAATGATTGTCTATGAGCATGAAAGTGAAATGCATTTTCAATCCAAATATTTGTACGTATTGAGCGCGATTCACATTGGTGCGATACGACAAAATATTCCATCAATGCAATTGAATACGGTAATTCACACCGATCCGGCAAGCTCCGAACGACACCATACGGACACGACAAGACATTCGAGCAAAGAATGTTTAGTCGGTGCCTGTCGGAATCAATTTGATTGAAATATACATATTTTTATGTACTCATAATTATTATATAATTATTATTTTATGACTCATACATTATTATTGATATTTTTTATTAATTATTGAGTATATATATAATAAACTGTTGAGAAATTTCAGAGTGAATTGCGTACAAACTCGTCGAACGTATCTATAGATAGGCGCAGCTAAAATTTGAATCAGGGAGGGGCAAAAACATAAAATGATTAGTGTTAAACTCGTAATTCAAATAATCTACAGATAGACCATTGGATAACACATAAAACGTCAAAACGATTACACGTGTAGATATCACTCGGTCCCACTAAACTATTTAAAGAATTATATCTTATTTAATTTTTAATTTTAATGTAAAACTTACACGTTTGGTATAAACAAATATAATTCAGTTTGAGGCGCAGGGGTGGGCAAGTGCCCTCCCTGCCCCACCCACGCTACACCCATGCATCTATATATATATAAAGATTATATTATATTATAATTATTATAGACGTAGAACATAGATACGGTCTTTATATTGTATTGCACGTCGTACAGTACTACTGTCGTTGCCGTCTTGCCGTCATATGTGTATTGGACACATTTTTGTCGTGTCGTGTCGTACCAGTGTGAATCGCGCTTTAGTGTGGCGATTACCGATACCGGGAATTTTACCAATGATTAAAAATAAAATAAATAATAAAATACAATACAGATGGATAACCGACTTCCTAATTTAGTACCCAATGGGCAATGAGTAAAACACGCAATTTTTCAATTAATTTGCTTTTGATAAATGTTTGGTACCATTATTTGGGTTACTAAAATCATTCGATTATTTTGATAATTGAAAAATAATAATTTAATAATTTGATTATTTCAAATAATCGGATCATCTGATTCAGTCGCGGATTAAGCAATTTGTCGCCTACAAGCAGGACATATGTCACCGTTTTATTTTAATTTTTATGTAAAACAAAATACATATAGAAATATATTGTTAGTTAAATTATTCTTTATTATTTTAAATTTAATACAATAGTCAAATATTAAATCATTTTTGTTTGGCTTTTGTGGTTAGTGAATGTATCGATTAGGTCTTGAAAGTCAATTGTCGACACTAATTCCGATTCAACGCACAGGAGAGCCAAACTATTTAACCGATTTTCGCCAATTGTAGATCTTAAATAAGTTTTAGTTCTTTTGAGACACAAAAACGATCTTTCTGCCGAACAATTAGTAACCACCATACAAGAGTATATTCTTAAAGCGATGCTAATATTCGGAAATAGTTCTCCTAAATTCTGATTTCTAAAAAATGTAAATAAATTTTGTTGTTTTTTTTCTGTTACATTTTGCATATAAGTTTTGAAATGTATGCATTCTTGTGTAAATGTGTTTTCATCAATATCCTTTTCATAAAACTGTTGTAGTTTTTTGGTTCCTTGGGCAACATCATCGGTATCAATTGACTTCTTGTCTAGGTTGATCAAAAATTTGAATTTATAGTAAATATTTGCATACCCAAAATGTATCGCCATAATGTATATAGCTATGATTATATTTAAATAAACAGTTTCCGGGAAAAACATAAATTCGCTAATAATAACAATTCTAGTTGATCAAGTTTACCGAAACCGTTTCAGTATTCACTGAGTGAATAACCTAATGACTAATATTCATAAATTACAATATGATTTTATAAATATATTTTTTTTTTAAGTGCGACAAATTTGCCGTTCCAATCACCTGATTACTTTGCCTGTAGGGTAACCCGATGCTGATCCGATTATTCCCATCACTATTTGAAATATATTTTTGGGATTGCGGCAAATGGTCGTAAATTCGCACTATACAATCGTTCCAGTCAATTGCCCTCCGCAAATTTTACAAATTATGTTTTTATTATACATTGTTAATCGTTTACGATTAAAAAGGTATTTTGAGATAGAATGGTCAAAATTAAACAATTCTACATTTCCTCTAAATGTCTAAGCCGGTACACCGGGACACGAAGTCCAAAATCGTCGACTATTCCGATTTTCCGGGACATATGGCAACCCTAATTTGAACAGTTTGTATCTATATAATGATGGAATACAGAGAGGGATTCAAAAGGATGAATCAGTGAGTTAACGATATTATCCAGGAGCACCTTAATATTAGTTAAGTCCACCAGGTCAGGTTAGTTTTGCGTACGTATATTCCATTGCGTATACGAAAAAAAAAAATTACTAAAATGTTATAGTCACGGAAAATGTAGTAAATATAACTATTTTATAGATGGAATGACTAAAACAGTATAGTTATTAAGACTATATAAAAATTGTTGGTTTCAATAGTGAATATTACAATATATTATAGTTTTTTTTTTTTTTATATATATTTTAATCAACTATATTTTATAGCTCAGATAATTGAATACTAATAATACTAATTGCAATATATCAAATCACTATAAAATATAATAAGTCGTAACTGTCGAAATGTAATTCGAAAACTGAACACGCGCGAGTCGCTAACACAAAGGTAAAATAATGCAAAAGGCAACACGCGCGGCATGAAATGAAAATTCTTAAGAATTTTGTCTCTTACAAAACGTATTATGAGTTAATGGATGGTGGTCACCATTACCTTATTGTCAGTCGTTTATTAATCATATTTTGCAACACTCCTACAAGAAAGTTCGACGTAGGACGAGTCTCTAAGTTTCTACGGATTCAAGTCAAAACGGTAAGTTTTTTACACTATATACTATATAAATATGCAGTAGATTATTAATGTATACAGTTATTTTCGAGTTTTGTTTAAATTATTTAAATAAATATCGACTTATTACATACTCCTTTAGTTTATTAATTATAAAGCTTATTACAAAGCTGTCTTAATTATTTTAAATCTATATTTTTTTATATTATTTTTTGTAAAAAAACCCATACTATTTTTTGAATGAGAAAGCACCGCGTTGCACATGGTAAGATACTAAAATAAGACTTGGAACAATTAAATACTCCACCACTTGCAATTAATTAGTACTAAATTTGTTGTATAATATGCATGGGCTCGACCAGATTTGTGTCCACCGCCCATGATGAATTTTTATTTGAAAAAATTATATACTCGTATGTCCTATTGTTGTTTGTTTTTGGAATATAACTATATACAAAACCTTAAGCATGTTGTTATTTTAATTAGTCACCAAATAACCAGTAAATCTGTTTCACAGTTGAAAATAAAAAAAAAAATAATATTTTTTTTTTACATAAACATAAAATTATATTTGGATACCATATTTAACAATGTTTTTTTAAATTTTATAAGTAAAAGCATGTACTAGCCAAAAAAATAGCAATTATAATAGGTACGATTTGAATGAATATAATATTGTAATTTTATAGTAAAAAATACTATACGTGACAGGAGGTACTGCTAAATATATAAAATAATTAAATATAAAACTTGGTTACGAATACTTAATTTTATAGTAGTGGTTATTACGAGTTATAGCTCAATAAACTGTTAATTATAGGGAATTAAATTTCTGCTGCAGTGATATGAACTAAACCTTCCAGTTCTAACTATTATAAATTCCAGTGGGTATTACTATAAATGCTGTTTGAACAATTAAATTAAAATATACAGTGAACTATAAAATTTTAGTAAAAATTACTTTATTTTCTTGTAACAATGACTATAATAACTTAACTAGAACATTATAGTAAATATCACAAAACATTATAGCTATCCCTATAGCAATTATAAAATACTGTTAAATCAACTATTTTAATAGTGGGTTGAACTGTTTTGTTTTTTCCGTGTATTGTGTATTGTTTAAAGTAATAGCATACGAACATTATTACCGTCATACGCAATACAGTGATGGACGACAAGTAATAGTTGTTGGCGCTCTAAAAGTTACTCAAATTAATCGTAACATAAATTTAAAGTACAATCATTTGAAATGCACACATGCAGCGTGGGACAGAAAGATTGTTACCAAAAATTTGTACGATTAGGCAACCAAACATTCGTCACGACTCCTTTGACTTCGCCGGCGCCACAAGGTTCTCGATACCAGGGGCCTATTCGCCGAAATCTCTTTTACTGCGAGCAGTCGGCCGTTTTACACCGCCTCTCTTGTTGTGTCTAAATAATAAATCGTTTTAGTCCACGGTCGGATATTTTTCGGACATCTGCTGAATTATTCGATCGTTATTATGGAGTTGTTTTTTTTACTATTGCTCAATATGTTCACATATTTTTTTGACTGTACATAATATTTGACTTTAATTTTTTACGTGATTATAATTTATGATTGTTTAAAATGAGAATTTAATTTTTATATACACGTGAATAAATAAAAAATAAAAAATTGCAAAGCTATTAAAAGAGGAAAAGAAAAAGGCATAACGAGAATACAAAAAAAATTACAGAGAGAGAGAGAAAGAGAGAGAAACTATTTTTTAATTAGATATTAGGGGTCCTTATTTGTCATTCTTG